CGAGAGAAACATCGGGCGAGATGGGAGCACCGTTGGGCAGAAGCCATGTTGAAATACCCTCGTTGAGGACTGCGAAGGGAGTGTGTTTTAATTCATCAGCCAGGGCTTCTCCCCGGGGATCGGCCACCAAGTTAGAGCACCACAAGTCGCGATGGACATTGAAGTCACCTATCATCAACCTGTCTCCAGGAGGTAGGTAGGGAGCGATGGAGGCGGAGACACCAGGAAGATAACTGGAAGATGGGGGGATGTTGACGTTCACGATGGTTAGTGGCGTCGGGCCAATGTCGAGGGAGATTGCCAATACGTCTATGGGGTCGGCACAATGGAGCTGATGGTGGACAATAGATTTGTCCACCAAGAAAGTCAAACCTCCACTTTTGTTGCGACCGCAGTCACGACGGACGATCGCGTAGTTGGCACAGGAAGGGATCTTGGTGGAATTAGTCCACATCGCCTCCTGGATAGCGGCTACAATTATATTCTGCAAACGCATGAAGACGAGGAGCTGGTCAAGCTTGTTTAGTATACCGTTGGCATTGAACTGTAGAAGCTTAAGGTCAGGCGGTATAGTGAGGTCAGAGACTTCAGCATTTGTGTGGAAGCTAGGAAGGACAGGAGGCGTAGGAGCAGATAGAAGCATGGGACAACTGGGGCAACTGAAGGTGGGCGACCAATCGGCAGAGTTGGTGAGGCCACTGCAACGAAGATGGTACCAACCATTGCAGGAGCCGCAACGTACAAAACAGTCGCTGCAGCCCAGGCGGACTTGGCAGAGTGAGCAACACCAAAGAGGCCCAGGGTTGGCCTCATTCCCGGCGGTCAGGAGGAGGAGTCGGAGCAGAGTGGCCGGAAGAGGTTGTTCCGTCAGCGTAAACACAGGTTGAGAATAGAGGAGACTGATCCAAATAGGAAGATTGGTGTAGGAGACACTGGTCACCGTGAGGCGGGTGGGAACGTGGCGAAAACGCATCTTTTGTAAAGTTGGTCAGTACAAATAGCTCCATCGTTGCGAATGACGATGTCCCCCTTGTGGCACAAGGACTGGGTGCAGGTTAAGGATTACTTATAAGGCCCCCTAGGCGAAACACGATGATAGAAACGCCCCGCTATAGGAAAAAATAGATAGTCTTGCGCATCATTCCATGAAGGGCAACAACTTTCGTGCTCTGACCGTAGCATTGGCCCTAACATAAACCTAAAGCGTGGTCCTAATCTCAACCCTGACCATAAAATAACACTGGCCCTAACTTTAATCCTAAACTTAACCGTAATTTATTTTAACGTTCACTCTAACACTGAGCTTAAACCTAACCATAACCTTAACTCTACCCATACACCTAACTCCATTTCCCCGGAATTTGGCTCCAGGACAAGTGTATTTAGGGTAGTACCTGTTCTCTTGTTCGGTTTAGGGGGGAGGGGGGAGCGCATCTAATTAGTCCTTTCCGGATGCAAACCACTTTGTAATGGGAGAGACTTTCGAAGCATCTTTCACACTCTCTCCAACCTCACCCACATGGCTTCTTTGGCAAGAAAACGTAAAGACGATCAGGGTGGTCCCCGGGGGCAATAACTTACCAAGCTAAACAACCCACCTACGCGTGACACACTTGGCTTGGTCCCATAGAAATTACCTGGCTTACAATTATTCATTAAAGTAATAGACATATCCAGCAACTGGGGCAAATTTTGAAAAAGCTTTTCCTATTGCCTTCGATTAGGAGGAGGGTGGGCTTTTATGAGAACGTAATGGCCTGATTGTGTTAGATTAGGCATAACACGTTACATAGTTGACTGTAAGAATGGTATTAGACTTCGGTGGTTGATTTCTGCTCATGTCTCTGATGAAGAATCCGCGAGGGTGGTCGAAAGGTCAGGCGAATGAAAGTGTTGTCCCAGCGATCAAATCTTCTTCTTATTTCTATGTTGGGTGGGGGGGG